AAGTACTGGACTCCTTTCTTTCTTATTGGTGATGATGTCACCATCAGTGTATGAGAAATGCATTTCAAACAACTCGTATCGTTCCCTCGAGTACTGTCTATTTATCGATTCACCAGCCATATATCTTCAATAGAATCACCGACTGTAGATTGGGGAAAAATTATCCAGTCCTAACATACAGTAAAAACCCGCGTGTAACAACCTAGTGTTTTTGAAGTCTGGCAAAATAGGTTCTTATATTTTGGGGTACTTACTGACAATTGAGGCAAAATAGGTTCTTGGTAGGTTCTTTTTTTTTTTAAGGGAAAATCTACTGATATATTACCAGAACATCAAAGGAACGTCCTTGGTGTGGTCTCTTCATGGGCGTGCTCTTGGGCTTTCCCTAATTTAGTTAGCTATTGATAAAATATACCTCCTCAATGTAATCAACACAACATAACAAAACAATTTGAGCAACTTTGGTTCAGAATTCTAAAATAGGTGACCTCCAAAACTTGTCCAACATTTTTTGTTTCATTATTTATAGTGACCCTTCATATAAGAACCTTGTGATTTTGGTTGGCAAAGCAGCTTCTTCATATTTTGGGCTATTAAAATCCAAAATTTCTGCCTGAAGGTYTTTTAATCCCTAGGTTCTTCCACGCGGGTTTTTACTGTATGGAAAACAATCGATAGCGCTACAAATGATGAAAAGATATTGAATGTGACGAGTGGCGACTTCCAACGTAACATGGCACGAGTGAAAAACGTCTGCGCATGCTCTAAATCCGTATGAAAATTAGTCAAGACATAMACTTATTTCAATAAAGTTAGTCACCAAAACCCTAGAAAGCTGAGATCACTGAGCATCATGGGAAACTTTTCATATCAAAAAAGGATATATATACAAAGCTTTTTTAATACCAACTGCAGCTCGATGATGCTCAGAAGAGGTGAGACTGTAACCGGTGAAAGATTCGCAAGTCCATGAACAGTTATCAAGCGGATAAACGTGTAAAATGAATCTCCCATAATCCTTGTCGGCCTCAGCTTTATAGCTTTTCGGGTGACTAACTTTATTGAAATAAATGTATGTAAATGTGACTTTGAAACATAAATTGGACTTATTCACAAAATGCCAGAACTTAGTGTCCATGCTTGAAACTTAAGGTTTCAAGGTTTTTTTATTTCCCAGAATGAGAATTTGACACTTAAGGCTAATTCTTTCATATCGTGATGGTTAATACAGTATCTTGGTCTGACAAAAGTATACTCTCGAACTTTTTTGTATACTTGGAGAAAACAAACATATATTTTTTCACTCAAACTCTTCAATATTCTTAGAAAACGTGCTGAAATGCACGCATGCGCAAACGTTTTTCTTTAGTGTCACGTAATATATTTCCATGATTCCAAATCGATCTCGATCAAATATTATTCTTGGTAATTTCATTTTTTACATATTGCTTTTAAAGTACTTGAACTTGAACTKTGTTTATTTACACATATATAAATGTTTACAAGTAAGTATATAAATATTATACAATTTGAAATAAAATAAGAA